GCAATAATGGGCTTAAATTATGGGCGGAAAGGTACTGGCTAGACATTGGGGGATTACAGTAATTGAGCAGTGGAATTGGCTGCGGGGGGGGGGGGGATCTCTCCCTCACTGGCAGTCTTCAAGTAGCAGCTGGACAAACACTGTCAGGGTTGCATTAGACTGATCCTGCACTGAGCAGGGGGTTGGACTAGATGGCCTTCCAACTCTGAGGCCTCTAGCATATGTCAATTTCTCCTACAATGTTAAAGCCATTCTTCAGGCATCAGAATCTTCAGATGTTGGAGGGGGTCTCCCCGTTCTTTTACTGCTAGGCTCAGGTCTTCCTTCAGACCTCAGGGGGGTTGTGCCTGGGTTTCGGTCCCCCAGGGTCTTTCTTTTCCAACTATAATTCTTCCCAGCCAACATTTTGCCCTCCCTGATATGCCAGATTTGTCTTAGAGGAGGCAAGAGCCACCAAAAGGGGGCTCAGAAATGGACCCCATCATAATTTGGCGGTCTCACGTTTTCCTACATGAATGTTTAGTTTCCGCGCAACAATGATCTCAATCATAATCAGCATGAATGAGTGGTTTTACAAAGGAATCTCATGGAGATTTTCAACACGAACAGGCTACTTAAAGTAAACAGAAAGGAAGAATATGGGAAACATATTAAGTGTGTCCAGGCACAAAGCATTGCTTCTTTACTACACTGGCATTAAGCTGTTTTGGAAATTAAGTTATTTTTAGCACAAATTTGGTTTTTGTTTTTTATTTTCCATCTTTCATACTCTGCCCATCTGCCAGAACTATCTAGGCTGCATTTCTGAAATGTTTCACATTATATTGTGTCCATCCAAATGTAGGAATGATTTTCACCTTTTTCAGAAGGAAATAGTTTTTTAGATAAACAACTTTCCTTCTATGGAAGTACAGCATTGTACCAGAGGTAGGGAGAAAGTCCTATCTGGCAGACTGGAAAACCATTGAGAATATAGGGTTCCACCCTAAATCGCTGGAGGAAGTGTTATGGATGCCGCCGTCATCCCGCCCCAGAAGATCAGGATACAGTGAGCTTCTACAGGCATCTCTTGGGGCTTGGGACCGACTTAGAACTTATCTGGTCTCTCCATCTTCACCACTGCAGACGTTTTTGGGCCAGAGCTGGTTTTGCCCAGGGGAAGATCCCTCGGCTTATCGCTGCTGGAGGAAGCAGGGCCTTACCAGATTTTGTGACATCATGGCCAGAGGCTGCCTACATAGTCAACAAGAAATAGAACGTAAGTTACAGGGACAGGTATCCTGGTTTGAATATGAACAAGTTAAACACTTAGTGTGTCATGACTCGCATACCCCTTTGCCGGATACGATTTTGCGCCTGTTTGAAGATCTTATGGCGGCTCAGATCTTACCTAATAGGGGATTGGTGTCAAAAGTGTACTGTCTTCTTAATTCTCAACATAAAGAAGAACAGACTGGATATCAAACAAAATGGCATAGAGATATTGGTCAGTCGCTTACCTCCGAACAGTGGACTGCGATCTGGTCTTCTCCTCTTTGCCGCTCCCGTTCCACCAATATTCAAATGTTAACTTATAAACTTTTATTTCGATGGTACCTGACCCCGCATCAGCTGCATGGCATTAACCCCGCGATCTCGGACAGATGTTGGAAAAATTGTGGGGGCCGTGGCACCTATATTCATTGCTGGTGGGAGTGTCCCAAGGTCCAGGCCTTCTGGAGAGAAGTCAATGCCCAAATACTTTTAATTACAGGTTGCGCCCTCCAACTACAACCCTCCTTGTTCCTTTTGAATCATTGGAGCCATCCTGCCCCCAATGGGCTTATGAAAGAGTTGATAGAATTGTGTCTTGCGGCCGCTAGGAATGTTATTGCATTTCATTGGAAATCCAAGAAGACGCTGCTACTGAGTGACTGGTTCCTGAAACTGTGGGACTTCTTTTTACAGGACAAAGTTTCCACTAGCATCCTACGATCCGAAAATCAACCCGTTCCTGACAATCTTCAAGAAAAATGGATGCCCCTCTTGGAAGCCTCAGCAGCACATAAAATCGACACCTCCCTGTTTGCCCTGCATAAACACCAGGACTTGCTTTCCTATTTTTAACTGTTTTTTATATTTAATAAAAAAAAATTAAAAAAAAAAGGTAGGGAGAAAGTGAAATTTTTATGAATGCAATCCTATGCACACTTACCTAGGAGTAAGCACAACTGAACATAATGGAGTTTCCTTCTGAGTAGACATGCACCAGGCTGATATTTAGGTCTTAAAATCTGTACAATGTGATTTCTTCCCATACTGTTCTATCCCCTATTAAAGAATTTCTGCTTATTATTATTATTTGATCCTGTTGCCTGTGTTTCAAACAGCGAGTATCCCAAATCTTGGAGTACTGCAACAGTTTGAACACAATTGGTTCTATTTTTTTAAAAAAAATCCTCCATCTTTCTATTCACAAGCCTCCAAAGTATTTTACATACAAGAATTAAAACAAAAACAATTAAGCAGACAAAAATCAATTGAATCAACCTGATGACCGTCACAGAAAAACCGTAAACAGATTCTTAATTGTATCCTTGTAAAAGTTGGGGTGAACAATAATACGCAGAATATGCAGAATTAATCCAGTCTAAACCCACTGAAATAAAACAGCTTAGATTGGTGAAACTCCATAAAAAAAGTTTCCAGGTGGCATATATAAGGGCATCAGAAAAATGTCTGCAGAGCACACTCAAAGAGTCATAACTATCCACCAGAATTAGGGTTGCCAATAAACCTGGAGAAGAATGTCCTGCCAGTAGAGGCTTATTGTGTGAAATGGGCAGCTGACGTTTCATGGCATGAAGTAAAACATCCTGTTATTCGTTAAAGGGGCAAGATACCTTTTATCCTGACAACTGGCAACCCTATCCAGAACAGGGCTTCAGCTGATATTCTCTGTCCATGAGCACTTTCATGCACAATAAATACCCTGTTCCCAGGCCCACTAATGGGTTCACAGGTCAAAACCTTTTACATACATAAATGCTCTTATTGGACATCTCAAAAGCAATTCCAGCAATGTGGGGAAACAAAATGCTATCAAGGAAGCAATCCTAAACAGGCCTACTTAGAAGTAAGTCTATGTTATTGATTGGGGTTTACTCCTACAAAGGTGCCTTCAGGATGTTACCCCAACTCCTTTTAATAGTTTTGTAAACAAACAAACAAAAACAAACAAACCCCTGCACAACAACAGGTAGCACTGCAAATTTCAGAAATGTGAATTTGTGTTGCAAATATTATGGCTGACAGGATTTCTTCAAAGTGAAAACCTCATTTTAATCTCAGGTTGTTTCACAACAAAGTACAAAAAGTCTTCATATTTTATAAAAACTCAACTATGCAATATGAGTTCATGTAGCACAATCCCAGACACTCTACAGTAAATTCCACTGAATTTTATTATTATCCCTAAAAGAGAGTACGTGGAATGAAGGCATCCTTCCTGATGGTTTTGAACAGCCTCCTGTCCTCCTCATTCCTCTCTGGGTCTGCGGCTCGACAGTTTCCGCAGCTAACTCTGGAGGAGGAGGAATGAAAGGCCCGGCTCAGAAGGCACACTGGTGGCAACGAGAGCCTTCCGTCGCGTCCAGCTCTTGACCAACCCAAGGCGGGTCGATGATCTGCTGAGAGCTTGGTCCTCCTTCCCAGATAAGGCTCGTACATTCTAAACTGGGTCGGAATAAAAAAAGAAAGGGAAGTCCATTAAATCTGGGGCGGTCCGCGCCCACAAAGTGTTAAGATTCTTGGCGGGAGATTTTTGAACTGAGAAAAACTGGCAAAAAGGGACAGATTTTTAAGATCTCTTTAAAGAGCACACTGCATCAGTGGGGTGCCTCCAAAAGAATTCGTGGAGATGCTCTTTTTAACCCCACACATTTAAAGTTTGCCTATTCCCCCGAAGGGTCAGAACTGAAATTGGCATCTAAGTTCAACGTGCCCGAGGAAGCCGCTTCCCAGTCCGTTTGCTCTGAACGCTGCTACGGTTCAGCATCTACCGCCAAGCTGCCGCAAGTTCTTAAAGCATGCGGGCGGGGGAAATGGGGCTTCTAAGCCGGCCCCCACCATCCCCCTAGGGGGTCTCTCTCGCCCAACCCACTCACTCCCACGAGACGCAAATTCAACTGGATTTACTCCCTAGCAAAGATCGCAACTGTTCACCCGGTAAGAAGTCCCACTGATGTTAATGGGATTTACTTGCAAGAAAATGAGTCAGAAGAGGCTTCACAACCTCTCCCCACCGCCACTTACATCATTCCCCACTTCTCTCCCTCACCCCCCACCCCGCTTCCAGCGCACTATCTTCGTCCCCTTTCCTGCCTGGAAGCCCTAAGCCGAGCAACAAGAGCGAGAGGAGGAAGAGAGACTCTATCACCAGGCGCCAGAGACGTGGGGATTTAAGGAGAAAGCCGCTTAAAGAACTGAAGCTCTGATTAGGGAAATCGATTGCAACATTCAGGATCGAACCACCACTCCTGGGCCTCTTATCTCCGGGATTTAAAACAGTGTTATCTCCCCCCAGTCCACACACACCATGATGACAGCCACGAATTTGCCTGTTTGAAACTCTACACGCTCCTCCCCCAGTCCCTTCTCCTCTTGGTTTCTCCCCGTGCAGGACTCCTCCCCCCCCCCTCCCAGCCCGGTTCCTCCAACTCCACCAGAACTCTTAAGCGGGTAACCAGATATTCAAAAACAATACGTCAGCCCACAATGCCCTGCACGGAGCCCAGGCATTACCTCATCCCATAATGCTCCGCGAAAAGGGGGTTGAGAAGCTTCTAAGGGTGGGGTGGCCATGGAGATGGGAGCTTTTGCAACAGGCTGGGCCAGCGGCCCTCCTCCCCCCTGAGACGTCGCTGTAGCCAATGGGAAGGCCTCGGGGTGACATCATGGGCTATTTTTAGGGAGTTACTGCTCGCTGATAAGTGTTGGGCTCCACGCTGGGAAAAGGCTCAGAGTCGAGTTGAGTGTGCGGCGGAGAACGGGGAGGCATAAAGCAGGAGCGCTTCAAACGAGCGGCCCCAGAAGAGCCCGTAGCAAAGCTGTTCCCGGCGTTCAGTGACAACGCTGAGCGGCTGAAACTTTGCTGAGCGAACAGCCGGCGGGAGCCTCGTTAACGCTCGGCCGCTCCTGGCAACGAAGTGACTTCGGGATTCGCCCTGCTCCCGCGCCCTCCGCCAGACCGAGGGGAGAACTTGCCTGGTCAACCACCCCTGGCTGCTGAGTGGACTCTTCTGGACCCCGAAGAGACGGGAGCGAACGGGGCGGTTCTGACAACTTTTCGGACCGAGCCCAGCCGGCGAGCGGGAAAGCTTTTGACAGCCCCTCCGGAGACGCGGCAGAGGACTCCAACAAGTGTGTTTGAAGCTCGCCAACGCTCCGGCAACAAGGGCGCTCCCACGAGGAGGGGACTCGCAGTGGGGGAGCAGCCAAAGTTCCTGGACTTGTGAGTCGTGCCCAGATCGACAAGGGGCAGCTCTCAGGGGCTGAAAAGTTTCCCAAGTCCGGGATTCCTCGGTGGAGAGAGAAATCCCACCATTCAAGAAGAGGACTTTCTGTCGTTTGCGCTCAAGATTCTGGAACTGATGCTTGTCCCGAGCTGTTTGAGCTGAAAAAGCGCCTGCTTGACAAATCCAGCCCTCCCCCTCTGCTGAAGGGGGGCAAGATAAAACGAAGAGCCAACCCAATGCCTTGTGGCTAAAAAGTAAGACTTTTTAGACTTAGTCACTCCTCTTTTTCGGAAGGACTCTTTCATTGTTGAGTTTCTTTTAATCGCGATAGGGGGTGAACTCTTGCGGCCAGACTCGGGGTTTTTTTTTCCAAGTGGAGGCGATTAGAAAAGGTTCCTTTCCTTGGTCCGTTCTTGGTTGTAAGAGAACCTACTCGTGGACTGTATTCTATGACTGCAAAGATGGAACCTACTTTTTATGATGATGCCATAAATGCTACCTTTGTACAGCCGGAAAGTGGTACTTATGGATATAACAATCCCAAAGTTCTGAAGCAGAGTATGACTCTGAATCTGGCTGACCCTGCCAGCAACCTCAAGCCCCACCTGAGGAACAAGAATGCTGACATCCTAACCTCCCCAGATGTAGGCCTCCTCAAGCTGGCGTCTCCAGAACTAGAAAGGCTGATCATCCAGTCTGGCAATGGCCTGATCACCACCACTCCTACCCCGACCCAATTCCTCTGTCCCAAAAATGTCACCGATGAGCAAGAAGGGTTTGCAGAAGGCTTTGTCAGGGCACTTGCAGAACTACACAACCAAAACACCATGCCAAGTGTTACTTCTGCTGCCCAGCCTGTTAACACCGGCATGGCCCCTGTCTCATCAATGGCTGGAAACAGTGGCTTCACTGCTAGTTTGCACAGTGAGCCTCCAGTCTATGCCAACCTCAGCAATTTCAATCCAAATACCCTCAGTGCAGCACCTAACTACAATGCAAACAACCTGGGCTATCCTCCTCAGCACCTAAACCCCCAGATGCCAGTGCAGCATCCCCGCCTTCAAGCGCTGAAAGAAGAACCTCAGACCGTCCCTGAGATGCCTGGGGAGACTCCTCCCTTGTCCCCTATTGACATGGAATCCCAGGAGAGGATCAAGGCAGAGAGGAAGCGCATGAGAAACCGAATTGCAGCCTCCAAGTGTCGGAAAAGGAAATTGGAACGGATTGCCAGGTTGGAAGAAAAAGTGAAAACTTTGAAAGCGCAAAACTCGGAACTGGCATCTACTGCCAATATGCTGCGAGAGCAGGTTGCTCAGCTGAAGCAGAAAGTCATGAATCATGTCAACAGTGGGTGCCAGCTAATGTTAACACAGCAGTTGCAAACTTTTTGAAGAGACTAACAGTAACTGTATGTGGTAGGGAGAAATTAAGCAAAAGAGAGAGAGATTGGGGGAGGTGGAAAGCTCTCTGGAGGGGGGGGAGAAAATGTTACAAGGCATTGATTCCTGAGGGTGCTTCCCCAAAAGCATGTGTGGAGAGACTTTGATGCCATTTGTTCTGAGGTGGTGGCAAACCAGTCAACAGTGCTGTTCCTGCTCCGATGTGGCACAAGAGAATTTTTTTAGCATTGACCAAGACCTGCATGGACCTAACATTCAATGATCATTCAGTATTAAAGGTTAAACTGCAGTAGACACTGTAGATTGCTTTCGCTAGTACTCCTTTTAAGAAAAAGTTGGGGAGGGAGTTTGTGGGAAGCTAACAACAGAAGCTGAACTATACTGCCTGCCTTCAAGTCAAGTTGTGTATGTATATATCTTTTTTTATTTTATGAAAGCTGATTAATGTCAATAAAACTACTTCATGACTTTGTAAGTTATTTTTATGTTCATTTGGGTTCTTCCCAGTATTGTCTGTAAATAAGAGATTTTTTTTAGCACTCTTGAGTTTACCATTTGTAATAAAGTATATAATTTTTTTATGTTTTTTTCTGAAAACAAAAATGCAGAAAGGGTTGGTTTTATTTAAGAAAACATCAACAATGCATCACCCACTTCCTCTGAGAACTTCTAAATCCAGCATAGACAGTGTCCCAACTTGTGGTTAGCTACTAGAACTGTTTTCCCTTTGGTTAACAAACTCTTCTATAATCAGGGTCTAGAAGGACATATAAATGATCAACATAGCTTCTGCCTGTTCTTGTAAAACTATGCTCTGTGCAGAGCTAGTGATACCATTTGTCAGAAGTAAAAAGAAGGGGTGAGGGGAGCTAAAAATCAAACTATTCCTTATACTAGGAATTTTCAAGTCTCATTGGCATTCCCATTTAGATACTCCATTAAGCAATTTTTGATAACATATCTAAATATAGAGAAGTGTTTTCAAAAAGGGAATCCTGAAATGGGAATTTGTCTCCTTAATGCTTTTGTTAACTTCTAGATGAAAGATGGTCTTTGTTCATGAGTATTTATGACTATGCCTGTTGTCCAATAAAATCATTCTAGTACTCTTTCCACAGATTTGAAATCCTTTTCCCTCTTTTTGTGGTTTTGCTCCATGACCTATTCTACAGCAAAGTGGGGGAAATAACTAGCTAGCTGAGGCAATATATTTTAAAACTTGTGGCATATGAAAGGTGCAGGCATTTTAGGACTGGCATTACGGATGCTGTTATATAAGGATTTGTTAATTAATATGTTCCCTTTTTTAACCTTAACTTTCTACCAGCTGAGTGTACTTACAATGATGGGTGAAGGCCTATTAATTTCAATGCAAATTACAAATACCTGTTTGGTCTTAGTCATGTTCAGATGGAAGTCCTGGTGAGCACACTAGAATTTATTCCAAAGTAAATATCTTTGAGAATGCCCAGCATGTTTTAATGGAATGCTCTCCGTCAGCTACACATAGGATTTCTGCCCTCTTTTAACTTGGAAGCAAATCCTGTTGAGTGAAATAAAGCATACTTTCATGTAAGCAAAGATAGGAATGTGAGTCTGTAACCTTGGTCTATAAGCATTTTACTTGTGAATTCTACTTACAATCAGCAGAACTTGTTTTTCAGAGTAAATTGGGCTGTAAGTCTGCTTACATGGGAATAAGTGCTATTGATTTGTATGGGAGCTATGTCTAAGAAAGCATGTTCAGTTTTGAGAAGATGCTGTTTCAGTTCAGTTCTAGTACTTGAAGTGGTTAATATTAAAGTGCTAAGCTTTTAAAAAACAACTCTGATACATAATAGGAAAGTGCTTAGTTCATTATAAATAGTTTTTAAACATAGGATTCTGGAAGTATAAGTTAACTGTTCCAGGCTTCCTTTCTTTGGAAGACTAGTTGGTCTTGCTAATAAAAGTTGGCAGACCTACAGCAGCCAGAGCTTCTGCCTCATGTGCATAGTGCAAGACTCATGCCTTTGCTTTAAAACAAGCAAATTCAACAGGTGTCACTTTGCCTAGTGACTGAAGTGCTTCAGCAGCTAGCTCTCTGCCTATCCTGCATAAGCTACAGA